TTACCACAAGTAAATAATAGCAAGTTGTATACAAATTATGTTCTGTGGTTAAAAAGCACCAATTTGACTATAAAAATGAATCACAAAAACTACAAGTGTAAATGTCCTCTAAAAATGAGATCTGGGCTGTGCGCAGCTCACGCCTGTAATCCTAGCACTTTGGGAGGCCAAGGCGGGAGGATCACCTCAGCTCAGGAGTTTGAGACCAGACTGCACAACATAGCAAAACCCTGTCTCCACAAAAAATACAAAAACTAGCTAGGTGTTCTAAGGTTAAGGTTAAGTTAAAAAAAAAAAAAAGAACTAGCTGGGCATGGTGTCTGCGCCTGTAGTCCCAACTACTTGGGAAGATGAGGTGGGAGAATCACTTGGGCCCCAGAGGTTGACGCTAATAGTGAGCCATGTTTGCACCACTGCACTCCAGCATGGGTGACAAAGCGAGACCCTGTCTCAAAAAGAAAAAGAAAAGAAGATCAGCTGGGCACGGTGGCTGACACCTGTAATCCTAGAACTTCAGGAGGCTGAGGCCAGTGGACTGTTTGAGCCAGAAGTTCAAGACCAGCCTGGGCAACATGGCAAAACTGTTTCTACAAAAAACACATAAAATTAGCTGGACATGGTGGTGCACACCTGTAGTCCCGGGTACTCAGGAGGCTAAGGTGGGAGGAACACCTGAGCCTGGGAGGTCAAGGCTGTAGTGATCTGTGATCGTACCACTGCACTCCAGCCTGGGCAACGCAGTGAGACCCTCTCTGAAAATAGATAAGTAAATAAATAAATACATGAATATATAAATAAATACACAAATAAATAAATAATGAGATCTTTGGGCCAGCCACAGTGACTCACGTCTGTAATCCCAGCACTTTGGGAGGCAAAGACAGAAGGATCACATGAAGTCAGGAGTTCAAGACCAGCCTGGGCAACACAGTGAGACCCTGACTCTACAAATAATAAAAAAATAGCCAGGTATGGCAGCGTGTGCCTATGGTCCCAACAACTACAGGAGAAAGGCTCACTTGAAAATGGGAGGTGGAAGCTGCGGTGAGCCGTAATCACACCAATACACCCTAGCCTGACGACACAGTGAGACCTTGTGTCAAAAAAAAAAAAAAAAAAAGATATCTTTGAACTTAAAGATGGTCATTAAATGCACAAAACTCAACAGTGGACTGAATAAAAAAAATGTACATATACATCATGGAATACTATGTAGCCATAAAAAAGAACAAAATGATTTCCTTCGCAGCAGCTTGGATACAGCTGAAGCCATTACCCTAAGCAGGGAACAGAAATACTGCATGTTCTCATTTATAAGTGGGAGCTAAACATTTAGTACACATGGACACAATGAGGGGAACAACAGGTACCGGGACCTACATGACAGTGGAGGGTTGTGGGGTGGGAGGAGGGTGGGGATCAAAAAACTACTTATGGGGTACCATGTTCACTACCTGGGTGATGAAATCATTTGTATACCAAACTCCAGCAACATGCAATCTACCCCTGTACTAAACTTGCACATGTACCCCCCCGAACCTCAAAGCTGAAATAGAAAAAATAAAGAGAACTGTCATACAAAGGTATACAAAGCCACTACAGTCGCAACAAAATACTGCTTTAAGTATTTAAGATTTTACCTTGTACTTCTTTATCATGACACTCTTTTAGTTTTGTCCAAAGGTCCTTAAAGTCACTAGATATATCTGCAGAGTTAGGGCTTCCACAACTGCTTCCCGAGATGTTCATCTTGCTTAATATGCTCCACACTTCTATTTGCTTAATATTTTCTGACCTTTTCTGTTACATTATAGAAGTATCAAGTCGTCTTTGGACAGGTCAAATACCTGAAATGACAGATTGCAAGATAAATGAACATTGCATTTATCTTTATGTACTTTGAAGTCAGGATGAAACACAAGCCCAGATATCCTCATTTACCATTTCCTTATTTACTTGTAATTAATCATTTTTAGAATTTGGGAGGGGAAGGAAAGAATAAGGAAAGATGATAATGGTGAGAAAAGCCCTGATTTCAGTTATTTGGCTATATAAGGTAAATTTTCAGGCAAATTTTCTTATTTCTCTTAGAAGAAAAATTATCTAAATTATGTTAAACAGAAAGGATTTGGATATTGAGGGGTTTTTATCATTCATGGTCAGTATTAATTTACCACTATAAAATAATTTATTGTTTTGGCTGGGGGAGATGGTTCTTGCCTGCAATCCCAGCACTTTTGGAGGCTGAGGTGGGTGGATCACTTGAGGCCAGGAGTTTGAGACCAGCCTGGCCACATGGTGAAACCCAGTCTTTACTAAAAACACAAAAGTTAGCCAGGTGTGGTGGTGCGTGCCTGTGGTCCCAGCTACTCGGGAGGTTGAGGCAGGAGAACTGCCTGAAACTGGGAGGCGGAATTTGCAGTGAGCGGAGATTGTGTCACTGCACTCCAGCCTGGGCGACAGAAACCCTGTCTCAATTTAAAAAAAAAAAAAAAAAAAAAAAATTTTTTTTAACTTTTGAATCGGTGCAACAGCATACTGAGCCCAAAACTGAAAAACATTCTAAGATAGTCTTGACTTAACAAGCATCCATATATATACACACATCTATACATATTTTATAAAATAGTCGACTGATGTATTAACACAGATGAGGATCTGTATAACTTTCCAAAAACAAGAGAAGTCAGTAAGATACAAACACAGCAAAGATCTATGAATACAGAAACATCTTAGAGTTATAACACAATTAGGGTAACGTTACTTCATGCCTCTCTTAGAATAAAGGTGAACGATTAAGTTTATTACATAGTCCTTGAAGAAACCAACAGGTTAAGAAGTTTGAACAGATTAGTAAATATTTTAATATATGTTCTTAAAACGAAACCATTAATTAGCTACAACTTAAAAAGTATAGTGATTAGCAAGTCTACTAAACCTCACATCTGGCTCCTTAGCCAATATAGTACCATTTGTAACAAGTACGCGAACTGATTGTTTCTTGCTAACCATTTCTTGAGGTTTTTGATGAAGGAGTTGAAACAGTAATTCTGAAGGGAGCAAGAGTATATGTGAAGCCACTTGGTGAACTGTAAAGAGCTACAAAAATAAACTATCAAGCTTTGAAAAATTGTGATTAGACTTTTAAAAAATAATCAGCAGAGCAGGTGCGGTGGCTCAAGCCTGTAATCCCAGAACTTTGGGAGGCCTAGACGGGCGGATCACAAGGTCAGGAGATCGAGACCATCCTGGCTAACACGGTGAAACCCTGTCTCTACTAAAAAATAAAAAAAAAAAAAAAAAAACTAGCCGGGCGAGGTGGCAGACGCCTGTAGTCCCAGCTACTCAGGAGGCTGAGGCAGGAGAATGGCGTGAACCCGAGAGGAGGACTTTGCAGTCAGCTGAGATCCGGCCACTGCACTCCAGCCTGGGTGACAACAGAGCAAGACTCTGTCTCAAAAAAAAAAAAAAAAAAAAAAAAAAAAAAAAAAAAAAAAAAATTCAGCAGGAACTAAATATGAACTGGATTTTAGATATTAGGGAATTATTAATTTTCTTGGGTATGATAATGATGCGTTTTTTTTTTTTTTTTTTGAAAGGTCTTATCTGTTAAAGGGATATTTACTGAGATATTTACAGGTAAAGGGATATATTCTCTGGGATTTGCTTGAAAAAGAAAATCCAGCTAAAACAAACAAAAATGGATGTTGGGTGAAGAGATGAAACGAGGGCTGAACTTCAACAATTTCTGAAGATGGGTGGATGGGTATGCAATAGGGTTCATAATTCTAATATTTCTCTCGTATACGTTTACTTCTGCAAAAAAGTTTTTAAAAGTAGAATTAGGTGCACTGCATTAGTCTTGTTTCCAAAGAGGTTTTCATTCTATTTCTAACTCTAACGGACAAATGGGCCTATATATAATTGCGAATAAAAGTCACCATTTATTGTTTCCCACATACCAGAAACTGTGCTGTAGAAAATTTATATTTATATATTATTTAATATATAATTATGTATTATTATAGAATATTTGTATTCTACTTAACCTTCAGAAAAACTCTATAAGACAGACACTATAATTTCATTGTAGAGTTGGGGGAAGAGGCATAAGGCAGTAAATTACTTGCCCAAGGTCACACAGCTGGGACATGGCTTATGTCAGGGATGGAAATCAAGTCATGAGACCCATAACTGTAAAATACCTCTCTGCAGCAAAAACAAAACAAAAAAAAGGACATAAACTATTTCTATGAAGTCAACAGTTTAAAATAAAGGTTTAATTACTTTAATGATCAAAAAAGTAGTAATATATTCGTTTAAAGCCAAGAGTGTAAAATAAGCATCCTTTACGTATCTATCTTCAAGTAAGTGATGTACAGTGCTTTAAAAACAAAACATAAAAACAAAACATTCAACTTGCAAAGTCTGGCTCGCAAAACCCTTTCCACCTACCCCGCATGCCCAGCACTTGCTGTTAGCATCTCTCTGGGCACTGAACCGTTATTCGAGATACAACAGTGTGCATTTCTCAATCTCTCAGCACGGTGCGTCTTGCGTCCCAAGTTGCATTCTGGGCTCAAAGGCCTGTAACTATTTAACACATTTCTGTGTATTCCTTAGTATAAACCACCACACTGCAGGGGTTCACCAAAATACTCGCTGCCATACCACAGGTATTCCCACACGGGTAAGGCGAGAGGCACCTCTCGAGTCACACAGGGGACTTGAACAAACTGCACGGGGCATCTGAGCGGTCCTCACATGGGCGGAGCAGAGCAGAGCGGCAAAGGCTTTCCAGTCAGGCTGCTTCTCCATCTGCCTCTCCCCAGGCGCCCGCGCGGGTTCCACGTGCGGGTCTGGCCAAAAAAGCTCCAAAGCGCGCGCCCGCGCGCGCCGCAGCCGGCGCATGCGCGGGACGCGCTTGGCGGTGAAAGACGCTTCCTCAGCCCGCGCGGGAGACCGAGAAATAGTAGTGAGTGAGCGCTCGTCCTCTCGCCGGTCCACAGCCACCGAGTGCAGCCCGGGCCCGGCCTATTTCCTCAGACACAGCCCCAGAGCCGGGCGGCCACCCCTACCCCGGGAGCCCTTCGCCAAGCGCGCAGCTCCAGACCAGAAGTAGCCGCTCCGACCCAGAGCTCCGGGTGGGGTAAAGAGATTCCTTTTACTCACCGCCTCCAAGGTTGCCTCGGGATTGGCGAAAGCCCCCGAAGGGAAGCGAGCACTTTCTGACGCTGTGAAGGGACGGCTGCTCGCTTTTCTCTTTCGCCGTTTTCCCTCACCAGAGTGCCAAATCCCCGGTGGGAAGGCCGACCCCTCCGGACAGCCCGCGCTTTAAGGCCGGGGGCTGCCGGCCGGGCTCGGAGGCGGCCGGACCCGCCCCGCCCGGGAGCCCGCGCGACGTCACGCGGGAGTTCCAGCTGCGTCACGCCCCTTCCTCCCGCTGCCCGGCGCGGCGGCGCACTTCGTGCCCCAGCTGAGGAGCGGGCTCCGCTGTGCGGCCCATTCCCGAGTGCAATGGCTGGGGAGGGGAGCGACCCGAAGAGTCTGGCGACCGCCACAGCGCCTCTGAGATGCGCTGGGGAAAGCTCAAGCCGTTCTGTCGGGGGAGCATCAAGCCCTTGGGCTTCTGTGAAAGTTATCTGTACAGTGTGTCTAACTTAAACATTTTGCAGGGAAGCATGTATGAGTGACCTGTACGGAACGGAGAGTTAAAATTAACTGATGGTGGGGTATGGACGCGGATCCGTCTAACATAGTTTTCGGCCTTGTTGCTGTTATCTGCAATTTAGTGATGTGACCTGACAGGATTGGGCGGTAACGCCATAGATCAAAACGATCTGTATTTTGCTGAGGTTAAACAGGAAGTTTCTGGCAGATCTGAAAAGAGAAGGAATCTGAAGCGATCAGCGTTATTTATTGGGACAACATGCTGTTAGATAATTTTTTTTTTTAAGTCCAGTTTTCTTGTGACTGTTCGTTTGAGATTCAAACCGATAGTAGGTATTCCTATTTCTCCTGATTTCTAAAAGAATCGTTTTTAGACCACTATAAATTCTGCAAATGAACAAAATAGAGTAGAATCACAATATCATTTAAACCAGTCCAGTACTTTTGTGTAATCATTCTAAGACCTGGGAAGAGGACAAGGGATAATATTAACAGTTTAAAAGTTTAGTACTTAGAAAATCATAAATACAAAGTGGAAAGGTAATTTTTCCACCTGTCCCCACATCTTAAGGGATGAATAAATACCATAACTTAAAAAGTTAGTATACAGAAGAGGGGTGCTAGACCTTCTATTAGCGTGTTACGGCAACTATCTTTCACTTCCCCGTTTTATAAGACTTAACTCCACATTTTTAAAAGAAAATGGATCAAATTTTGACTATGTAATTTTTAACACAAGATAGGAAACATAATTGACAGTGAAGCTTTTATGTTTATGACATAACCTGTGATAAGTTTGTCATTTAACAGAGTGTTGAAAGAACAGTGTGCTGTGGTCTGTACTGTGGTCCAAAGAAAAAGTATCTGAGCAGAATGACCCAACCTGTTCCTATGACCTGTGCCTGTGTGTCACTGTCTAATCCACTTATGCAAGTCAGAAACCAGAGTCATCCTTGACACTTTATTCATCCCTAACTTCCATATGCAAGCCATCACCAAGTCCAATTTTACTTACCAGACATCTAAATCCATCCCCTTCTCTCCATCACTACCTCCATAATCCAAGATACTGTTATTTCTTACCTAGTCTACTGCTAGTCTCCTTTCCACATCAACACAGCCAACCACCCCTCCTAAACCTTTATTTTCACTGGTGTTCGGAAAAAAATTTGAGCATCCATTCTCCATATATATATTTAATTTTAAATTACATACATGTACTGCTGAAAAATGGTACATGATCTAACGAGGAAGTTACAGGCTCTGAAGTCAGACATCAGAGTTTAAATCCTGCTCTAATACTTCCTTACTGAGTGACCTCACTGCTTAACCTCGCTGTCCCATTTTACCTACTTGTAAATTGAGGATAATAATAGTACCAACCTCACAGGGTATTAAGATTGAATATATGTAAACTGCTTGGTATTCAGATATATACTATGTGCCCAAAAGCTAGCCATAATTAGTATTTCTTAGCTAATATTATAATCCATTTTAAAAGCATTTTTAGAGGATGAAAAATAGAATAAAAATACATCATCTTCCCTCCTCCACCTTAAATCTTGTCTACTTTGAGACCACTTCTCTATACTGCAGCTACTGTGATCTTGAAAAGTACGTCTATTAATGTCACTATGCTGCTTAAACCCCTTCAGTGGCTTCCAGTTACTCTGTGAAGGAAGTCCCTTTGAATTGCCTCTGCTACCTCTTTGGCTTTATTTCCAGACATTTTCTGTCCTGTGGTCTCACTAGACTTTTGATGTCTCCTAGACCATTGCATGCTATTGTCTCTGCCTGGAGTTCTCCACCAAACCTACCCCACTCTTTGCCGTAGCTATCTACTAATCATGTTTTTATCTTATTTCAATAGTCTCTTCTACTAGATCCTCTTATAGTACCATGTAACCTCCCCTTCTTACAGTTTTTATTGTTTTAGTTATTTAATGAATTCTGTCTCCCTGCTGGACTGTAAATTTCCTGAGATAAAAAACTAATCATGTTTTTATCTTATTTCAATAGTCTGTTCTACTAGATCCTCTGATAGTACCATGTAACCTCCCCTTCTTACAGTTTTTATTGTTTTAGTTATTTAATTAATTCTGTCTCCCTGCTGGACTGTAAATTTCTTGAGATAAAAAAACCATGTCTTGGGCCAGACTTTGGGTGACTGAGGCAAGAGGATCACTTGAGGCCTGGAGTTCAAGATGAGCTTGGGCAACATAGTGAAATCTTGTTGCCTATTCTAAAAAAACAAACAAAAATAGCTGGGCACAGTGGTGCATGGCTCTAGTTCTAGTTACTGTGGAGGCTGAGGTGGGAGGATCGCTTGAGCACGGGAGTTCAAGGCTGCAGTGAGCTATGATTGTGCCGCTGTACTCCAGCCTAGGTGACACAGCAAAAGACCTTGTCTCTAAAATTAAAAAAAAAAAATAGGTTTGTTCACCCTTTTGTCTCCAGAAACTAGCCCAGTGTCTGCCACCAAATCAGTATTCTATGAGTGAATTAAATGGGCATTCCCTGATAGATCCCATTTCCATGTAAATGGAAACCTTTGGGTACATTCAAAATTCATAGATTTTTAAATGAGATATTATATGGTCACTTTAACAATGGAAATGGCGGGCATCCTCATAGATAGGTTCTAAAGAAGCTTTAAGAACCACATGGAATAAACTTGGAAGTTCCAAAGATCTGCTGAAAAACCGTCTTTAACAGAGAAGCAGTTATTTTGAACTCTTCGTAATGCTGGGTTTCTCATATTTTGTGGCTTAGAACAGTACTTCCCAAACTTTTTCAACTTCAGCATACTTAGAAAATGAACACTTGTGTTATATATTGTAATGAAAAGATAAGGCTGCTTCCATCCAGTGGCAACAGTAGAAGTTGAGACTAGTCACCTCAGGCCCAGTGCTGCCACCTTCAGGGCTAGGTTTTTAATGTCCCAGCACACCTATTGGAGGTCCCTGGCTGGAATGCTGAATTTAAATAAAATTTAAGTGAAATAGTTAAAATGGTAAGTTTACGTTATGTATATCTAGGCACCAATTTAAAATAAATTGTGTGATAGCAGTACAGACTCTAGGATTCTTAAAAGTAAAGTTTTGGAACTCATGTAGGTTAAAAAGTCATCTAACTCAAGCCATTTACAAATGAAACCCTGTAGATTCTACAGTCTATGCTTAACTCCTGCAACTGGGTAGTTGAGTGTTGTGAAGGGAAAATGACATATCGCGTTAGACTGATATCACTAAAATCATATGGTTTCATACTTCATGCAGGGCATCAGTTAATCCTTAAGATAGCCTTTGTTCAGCTCTTTTTATTTTCTCTCCTGTCTTTCAGACCTTTACTATTTGCAGTCCTCAAGCCTCTGAAGGTATTTTCACTCTAGGCGGACAACCTGACCTCCTCATTAAACAAGACAGTTGAGCTCAACAAGTGTGATCTTCCTAAACTTGCTTTTTTCTTTCTCAACCCTATGAATTAGGCAATACCATTTGCAGTTAAAAATACAACCTGAGACTAGATAGGGTGGCTCATATCTGTAACCTCAGCGCTGTGGGAGGCCCGCGGGAAACGCACTTGAGATTTGAGAAACTGCAGTATAGGCTGGATGACAGAGCCAGAACCTGCCTCTTAAACACACACACACCCCCCAAACAATCCAGTTGCTTCTCACCTTTGTGTCCACCCTGGTTCAAGCTACCATCAATCTCTTCTATGGCAATATCCTTCTTTTAAAAAAATAAATAATCTGTTACCACTCTTTTCTCCATTACAGTATATTCTCCAACAGCACTCTGAGAGGTTCTTTAAAATCTTTCAGAAAATCACACTCCCTGCTCAAAGCATTTCAGGGTCTTCCATCACCCTAGAATAAAATCCAAACTCCTTTCCATGGTGTCAGGACGAGTCAGGCACTATGTTCTGCTGATGATACCTCTTAAATATAATTTTGAATTAGTGCTTTCCTTTTCAACCTCACTTACTGCCCTGGTTTAGGCCCTGATATTTCTTACCTAGGCAACAGCCTCCCTGCCTCCAGTCTTGTTCGCCTTAATTCAGTCTCACATAGCCACCCAACATCTAAACCATTATTTCTGATTCTGGCATTCCTTTGCTTAAAACTCTTCAAAAGACTATTGCTAGACCGGCGCAGTAGCTGATGCCTATAATCTCTGCACTTTGGGAGGCCAAGGTGGGCAGATCACTTGAGGTCAGGAGTTTGAGACCAGCTTGGCCAACATGGTGAAACCTCATCTCTACTAAAAATACAAAAATTAGCTGGGCGTGGTGGCAGGCACCTGTAATCCCAGCTCCTCAGGAGGCTGAGGGAGATGAATCCCTTGAACCCGGGAGGCGGAGGTTGTAGTGCGCCGAGATCACATCCCTTCACTGTAGCCTAGGTGACAGAGGAAGACTATGTCTGGAAAAAAAAAAAAAAAAAGAAAAAAGAAAAAAAGGCTATTGCCTAAAGGC